TATTTATATACTAAATCCAAAGTACAATTTAACTACTAAATTTAAATTATCAGTTAACTCAATTTCAGACCATTTGAAATTCTAATGCGTAACATGTCATAGAAAACTATAATTGCCTTTCTTACATATTAGCTGAAAATGCATTCAGTAATATACAGTCATCTGCCTTACTATACATCCCTCTACTGGAAACTTTTAAAACAATAGCCACAGTAGGAAAACGTCATTGAAAATAACCAGTAATAAACAATTTGTTTATATCCATGATTGTTTGAACAACAAAAACATATGAACGTCAGTATGTATACATAATTTGTAAAGTGCAACACACATTTTGTAAATATTTAACACAACCGCAGACACTACTGTGCCCAAAGTATCGAAAAATTCAGTCAGTAGGAAAGGTTCTTGTTACCACTGTTTTAATTAATACAGTGTAGCACCATTATTTTCCTGAAAACTTGTTTCCATTCTGTGAGGCATGCTGTTAACTAAGCTCTAATAGAAATCTGTTGCAATTTTTACGAACTGTCATTTCAAACAATCAGCCTACTAATGACCACTAGAAGGCTGTGCTTTAATATTTCAAGATAATATCCGCACCATCTGTCCCTAAAATTGTTATATGGGATATAAAACTGGAATTTGGGAGAGTCTTTGTATAACTTTATTTCAACACAAGGCATGGCTTTTATGTGCTTTATGGGAAGGAACATTATCCTGACGTAGCAAAACATAGGCTTGCTTACCCAAAAATCTCCGCCATGCTTTTGGAATATATTCGATTAGCAACTTATAATAGCGTCTAATAGCCGTGGACAGATACTGCAGATATGTCTCGCCTTCAGTACACAGAATGAAGCACATTAAAACATATCTACCATAATCCTTCACAGCTGGCATAACATAAACACATTCTACTTCTTCTCCTGCAAGCTTACAGACCCATATTCGCTATCAGTTACGAACTTGAAGTAACTGCTCCCATTACTCTACAGACGTTCATCAAAGTTTTAGTACACCAAACAAAAAGATGCTGTGCCCTTTCAAGGTATTCACACTGATGGAGAACACATTGAACATACTTTGTAGTTGGTGCTTGTCCACATGTAGCAGTATCATTGGATTTTCAAGGTATTCACACTGATGGAGAACACATTGAACATACTTTGTAGTTGATGCTTGTCCACATGTAGCAGTATCATTGGATGCAGTAAAGGTATTTTGAACTTACTGCAAGTATGATTTTCGGTAGTTTTTTCACAACCCCCTACAAAATAACATATATCACATACAAAATCACTTTCAGACAACTTCTATGTTTCTAGATGTTTTACTATAAATTTCGCATTATCATTTAATAGTTTCACGCACAGCAGACCGTGAGTGATCAAGCAACGCTCAATTTTCCACAACTTGCACTCTCTCCACTTTCAAACTTACTTAGCCTCTTGTACACATGCGAACATTACCTATCTCGTCTGTCTCTATTTATACCTACTGAATTTCTTTGAAGAAATGCCACAAATGCCTGTGTTACACGTTCAGGAATTTTGCTTATCAAGGTTGGTATGCTGGCATAAAAAGGCCTCCACCAGGGGTTATATCCTCTATAGACCAGTTTGCTCTATTTCAAATTGTGTTCTTAAAAACCTCGTAAACAAAGTTTCGAGAGAAACACTAATTTTAAAGGAGTGAAGTTACAGAAAAAATCCGCCTAGGTAATTCATAATTCTTCTGCTTGATACCTACTTAAGTCAAAAGTAGCAATATTAACGTAGAAGCAGTCATCTTGCTACTATTTAAATCTCAACAATATAATGATCTTAGAAATGAATTTAAATCGTGGATAGGAAACAATTTTATGCTCTCCAACAAAAGATAAAATATCAATGTGAACAATTTTAATTGAATAACCAGTGTGGTGATATAAAAGAGGAGTGAAATAGTCCTCATCGTAGCTATCCTGGAAAATCTTACTATCATTAAATAGAATATATAAAATTAAATCATGGTCGTATTATTTGTAGTGTTTAAAATGGAACCAATATATTCGAGTCGTTTATTTATTTGCTGTAGTCATCCGTTTTCTCTCCCTCTGGAGGTTTCATTTAGTATACAAACCTAACTTAATTCCTTGTAACTTTTCCACTGGAATTTTAAATATTGATAATTCCTGCCAACATTATCAACTATGATTTCAATGTGTGTTTTTTAATATTTTATCTTCAGTTGGTTAACTTATTAGAAATTATGTTAATAAAGTTAGAAACTCGTGAAATTAAAAAAAGATAAATTAAATAAACAATATACTTTGCTCTTAGAGTAATCTGACTTCCTTAATCATACATAAAAGAACAAAAATATCAAACGTGAAAACTTGATATGTGTAGCACAACATCGTTTTTTCTTTATTTATATCATAAAAGACTTATTAACAGCATAAAAAAGTTAGCTTAAAAAACAAACTGAATCCTCAAAATAATCAATTTGTTTTATATCATTATAATTATTCCAGAATTATTTTAAACAGAGAACTGTCGTGATATGCAGTTAAATAATGTTTTGAAAGAATGGATCTAAAAGAGTAGAACAGACTACGTACAGTCTTGAGACCATTGTCATAATGTTTGTTTTTCATGTTATATTGTTTTTCTTTTCACATTTTTCTCAATTGCATGATGTCCATCGAAATATGTTAGACTATTATTAATTAGTTGACGTGTTTATCTTAAACTCTTTTTGATGATATCTGCATAAGACTAAATCGGTCATAATCTACTCGGTAGCGTGCCCAAACTGGGAATCCGAATATTTTTTATTTGCAACCCGTGTCCACAAAAATACGCTCCGCATTATGGGGCTTTAGGGGCGAGTTACTCGAAGTCGTGTAACTTTACCCTACTTTAATTTGATAAAGTATATGCATTTCGATCTTAAGTCTTCTGTGTAAGTCATTTTTCCTCTGGTGGATACATAATGTGATGCGATTTTCGGTGTTCTTATGTAATTGTTTCAAAGGAATCTATCTGCGTTTTGCTCTGGTCACTAAAAAAACACCTTTTTAGGGCTTGTAAACCTGAAAATGCAATAAACAGCCAGTCAGGCACTCTAACAGTTTAGATTTAATCGTAATACTTTTACACAAAGTAGTTCAATGGTTTAATTACGCCTTGTTAAACAGATGAGTTCAGCAGCGAAGATATTAACTTCACAGTTAATATAACTAATTATCTCAACTCGTGTACTAATGATTAGCTTATAAGTACCAATTCATAGAATTTGTTTAAGCAGGTGCAAAAGCACACGAGCGGAATAATCTAAATTAACAGATTTATAATAAACGTTTGATTTGTTAAATTTTGCGCAAAGCTACTCGAGGGATATCTGTGCCAGCCGTCACTAATTTAGAAGTAATAGACTTGACGGAAGACAGTCAACATCTCCCACCGCCAACTCTTGGACTACTCTTTACCAACATATAACACGACTGATCGTCACATTATAACGCCCCCACGACTGAAAGAGCGAGTATTTTCGACAACTGGTGTCGATCACAAGACCCTCAGATTGCGAGTCCAATACTCGAAACAACTGGCCAATAAAAGTTTTAATTCAAGAAGTAGCTTAAAAGTTCATGAAGAGATGATGAATGCATAGTAAAATGACATCCAATAATATTCTTGTTTGCTGCCTTAGAAATAAAGATTCAAGTGAATCGGACACATAACATAGAGACGGTTGAAAGAATCTTATACCGAAAACTACATAATTCAGGAAACAATTTTGTACAAGTTGGGGATTTCTTATTATCGAAGTGTACTGAATGGTACTATTCTCCCATCATATCATTACAATATTTGTAATTGATCGTTGGGTAATGGTTGGGAGTATTATCTGATTTAGGTTATACGGATGAATAAGATTTAAAATCGATCTGTAATCTCATTTTTATTGTTTCATAACTTTATAAATGATATTGTTGAGTTACTACACCCACAACCAGTCGCAGATAATAAATTGTATTACAACTTGGGATGTTGTAGATTTAATTACTTAGGCCTTACCTCTTGTAGTATTGTTCTTAAGCTCTTCTCCACTTGCTTGCATTATATCTATTCACTTATGGTATGGAAATTATTTGGATAAACGAGATATCCTAAACAACTTTTGTTGTTGTTTTTCCGCAGTTATCTTTCTCAAGTTTTAGACCTTTTGCCCTTGTTGTGCAACCCTTGTCTTTTGTTATTTGGCCTGCATAATTTGAAAAGCATTTATGGTTGTATATATGTATATAAAATCTTAAAAAATACCTTCACACGTCACCTGATTGAGACTTTAGGAATATATCGTCAAAACTGAGACTCATATATATAAAATATATAAAACAAAACTGAGATTCATATATATATATATAATATATAAAACAAAACTGAGACTCATATATCTAAAAAAATATATAAAACAAAATTGAGTATCTTAACTTTTATCATTGCCGATACCTTAACCTCCACCTTTTGTCTAAAGGTCACAAAAGTTATTGTCATATGCACATTGTCTTCTTTCCGCTTTTAATGTGTTAAAATAACTGGAATCACAATTACATATAAACAGGCAGCCCCGATAGGTTCGCGGATTTGCAACTTTAAAATCTGTGGTTCGAGTCCCAGCGGTGTAAATGAGCCCAGATAGCCCATTTTGTAGCTTTGCCCTAGAAACACACAAACAAACGGACAGATGTGCGAGAATGGGCCTCAAGTATTCGTAAAGAGCTGATACCAACAAGTAGCACCGTATTATTGCCTCTTTCGTTTAATATTTTGCAGGTACAGTTGATTCTACCTCTAGATAGTTCCTGAGGTCATGAGTAAACCCACTGACCAATGGAGTACGCTCTAGTCGACATCGATCGAGATGCTGGTACTGAGTGCACAGTGAAATGACGGAACTCGTCACTTGAGCGTAGCGAGAGAAGAAGATTGAAGTGGTGTTAGTCAAGCCGCATGCATTTAATGACTTAAAAGCGTGTCCCCCTTTTTATTTTTTGTTTGTAGACGATTTATTTTCAACTCTTTTTTTTTTTTCATTCGTGTACAAAGACATTCTTCATAGCTCTTGGTAGAAATGTTAGTACGTGATTATGGCATTGATTTGAAATTAAGTAATAAATTGATGTGATATAATCCTTAAAGTCTTAAAAGATTAAATTAAGATTAGTATATCACAGAGTTTTCTTAACTAAACAACGCCTTCTGTGTGACTGAAACCTGACTTCCCAAACATCAGATACTGACGAATGAACAAGGACATAAGCTGATTCTGGGAAAAACATGAACGTGCAGCGGTCAGCTTCAGGGGGGTTGTCAGCAGCAATTTCTAACTGCGACGTTGTAAAACAAGGTTATCTTTTTGTTAAGAGACCTCCACGTAAAAGTTGGGACAAGTTCAAGGTAAGCGTAGAAGATTTTGTACCAAAATATCATAAACAAAGTACTAACATCTCACCGTCACACAAGGACGAAAAGTTTGTATAAGCTCTTGACTTATGTATATATATGTGATAATCATTTCTCTCTAAGGATTATAAGGATAAAAAGCAGCTGCTGTGCTAATTTCTGACGTCAATCGTCAAAATATCAATAAATAGTGAAATTGGAGTTTTTGTGGACGGTTGTGCGTTTTTCTTTTCTTTTCTTCTGAAAGTACTATTGAATGTCATTCATTTTTAGCTTAGACCACCTTTCGGATAAGCTTTTGTTTTTGTCTAGAGCTCTTGGTGATATATAATATACCTCGAAAGTTTTCGAACTTAACGTCAAAGAATGAAACAAGGTTTTTCAAATATTTCGATACTCTATCTCGTTTACGAAGACTTCAGTTCTTTGAAGAAAAGTAGTAAAAGCAAAGAGCTTATAAAACTCCCGTAAAATGATTTATAAGTCAAAGGGATGCATTCAGTAGCAGAACAAATACAATTTACTACAAATATTGTAGCGAAATACATGCTGTTTTTCAGCGCCATGTATTTTTTTAAATATTCTAAACATATCATGTTGAATTACTGTACAACCATAGTTTTACAGTATACCCCGCATATTACATATAAAAACGTAGTTGTCCGTTTGAACAGAAATTTAAACTGAGTAGCTGAGGGCATACAAGATAAATTTTTGTCATTTTATTTTCGTTTCTAAAAACATTTTAGCTATGATATCTAAAACGAATACTAATATACGTTTCTACTAAGTCAGACTTCTACAACTGTTTATTTAGGCTTGGAACAGGGATATATAATTTCGCTCACGTATTTTCGTGACTAAGGTTTATGTTTGTATAACCAAAGAAACAAGTGTTTCATACTTTTTCCTAAAACGCAAACAATAGCAGTAATTTAATAGAAAAATGTTTTGTTTTTGCTTGTACCGAAAATGCTGTCTGATCGACTGATTTTTCTTTTCTAAACTTCTGAAGCGTGAGGAGTAAAACATTCGTCGCAAATGGTTGAGCCTTCTTACAAGTTTTTTTTTTATGTTATACAAGTATACTATATAACGGTTTCAATAAATCCCGTTAAAATACTTAAACTCGTCGACTAGAGAACAGAGATGTCCATAAGAAACTGCTTGGGTTTTTGGTCAAAGAAATACGTTGAATTTTGGGTCAGTTCAGCTTTTTGTTGGTTTGTTTGCTAACTTCATCGAAAAAAAGAACTATATTCGTCACATTGAATTACTTAATATATTGATATGGAATATATAACTTATCAGATATAGTAAGATAGCTTGGATTTTACTGAATAATAGACAAAGTGCAATTCACTTAATTTGGAAAATTGTTGTCTGATACTTTTTAAAGCTAAATCGACTATATACATTATTGTTGCTAAATTCCTTCTCTCGACGTGAACCTATAATTTACTTTTGATGATAGCAAGTTATCAAATTTGACTAGCTAATCACATTGAGAAGTTAAACGTATACATACTCGAATTTAGTTACTTTAACACCCATTCTGCGAGTCAATGAGACTCAGTCTTGAGGACTGGGTGGGCTACAGAAGGGTGTCATGGTTTCTTGTATTCAAGTTGAATAACAAGAATGTACTCCGATAAACGGTTCGAACTTTTAACCTCAAGAAACACACTTTACCAAAGAACTCAATCTCTCTATACCGTTTGGTCACAATGATGGGTTGGCCGGACTGTGTTCCTTTAGCAAAAAATAGTGGGAGAGTTCATGTTGAGCCAGATATCACACTTAACCACCTTATAGTGTCCATCTCTATCGACAGAACTTGAATAAAATGGGTATATATAGAGCTGAGGAAACAAATCTTGTATTGCGTAACATATGTGTTTGGTTTGTATTCATTTACAGCTTGGAAACTAGTGTGAATTCGGCCACGCTGGTTAGAAATTTAGGTTCTAGATAACCCACAGTTTTCAAATCACCATTCAGAATTAAAAAAAGAGAGAGAGTGCTGGAAAGCTTTGTTTGCAAAACAACCAACCAAATGTGTCTCCCTGTCTCGCAGGCTTGTGTTAAATAAATAGGAAATAAAGACATTTTATCCAAACATCATTGAAGAAATTAGAAGTACAATAAAAGACACAAAACGGATCTAAACTAATTTAAAACTGATTTAATGTAATTAGAAGTATAATAAACATATAAAATGGATCTACACTACTTTAAGACTGATTTAATAGAGTTAGAAGTACAATAATACATTTAAAACGGATCTATACTACTTTAAAGTTTATTTTATAGAGTTAGAAGAACAATAATACATTTAAAACGGATCTATACTACTTTAAAGTTTATTTAATAGAGTTAGAAGTACAATAATACATTTAAAACGAATCTACACTACTTTAAAATTTATTTAATAGAGTTAGAAGTACAATAATACATTTAAAACGGATCTACACTACTTTAAAACTGATTTAATAGAGTTAGAAGTACAATAATATATTTATACAGATCTAGACTACTTTAAAACTGATTTAATAGAGTTAGAAGTACAATAATACATTTATACAGATCTACACTACTTTAAAACTGGTTTAATAGAGTTAGAAGTACAACAATACATTTAAAACGGATCCACACTACTTTAAAACTGATTTAATAGAGTTAGAAGTACAATAATACATTTATACAGATCTACACTACTTTAAAACTGGTTTAATAGAGTTAGAAGTACAATAATACATTTATTCAATAATACACTGAAACTTTTGTTCCGTTTTCTTAGGACAATCTTTTGGAACAGTCGTAACGTAAATTCATTCCAATATCAAATAATTGTGTATATTAACCCTGAGGAAGCCACAACGGTGAAACGTTGGTTAAATAAAAAATATATTTTATATATATATCTGGAGTGTAAAGGTCGTTTTTTCTAAACTTTTCATCAACATGTGTAAACCCTCCAGTATGCACTACAAATTTTTAAAGTAACGTAAACTCGTTTTATGTGTTTTAATATTATTTAAATAGCTGTGGCACTCGTAAAAATTGTTGCGTATGTTTCATACATAATTATATTGTACGTACACTTGCCAATACGCCCATCAAAATTATTCATGTGTAAGACAAATTATTAGAAATTGCTAATTTTGATTAACTCATGTTATACGATTGTTACATAAAAAACATGAAAGTTGAACTATATAATGAATTACATTCCCTCCCCCTTTTGTTAAGTCAATACTAGGAAACATACAGTATTGAGTCAATATACAGAGGTGACTGAATGTTGTTACTGTTTTCTTATTTACTCCACTGAGTAGTTATTTGTAGTCACTTCTGTTTTGTTAAAATATCATTTATCTAAGATGAATGCCAATATATTTCTAACTTGTTTATAAATTTCATGCTATTTAGACCATGGCCAGGTGGTTAAGGCACTCGACTCGCAATTGAGGGTCGCGGGTTCGAATCCCTCGTCACACGAAATATGCTCGCCCTTTC